CCCCCCGCCGCAGAAATCGCGGCCAAGCAGCCTGTGGCTCGGGGGAGTTCCCCACGATGGAGAGAGCCATGCCAAGCCGATTGAAGTGAAGGCGGCACTAAGCGCACGGAGCCGTTAGCCGTGTATCTGGATGCGCTGGTGCTCCGAGCCCAGCGGGAGGGCTCTGCTCTGGGCGGGCTCTGCGGGTCCGCCCTCCGCCCTGCACAGGCGGCAGCGACCGCGGCCTTCACCGCAGCTCGGTGTGGTGTCGCTCCAGAGCAGAGCTCCTCCCAGCGCCCTGCCTGTTCCTCCAGCTCCCCACGGCCTCACCCCACTGCTTCGGCTTTCACAAGGGAAAAAGAAAGGTTCTCTTCTAGTTAAGAGAAAAAAAAATATGCTGAGGTGGTTTTTTGTTTGTTTGTTTGTTTGTTTTCTAGTGTTTTTTTGTTTGGTTGGGTTTGGTGTTTTTTTGGAGGGTTTTGGTTTTTTTGGGGTTTTTTTGTTTGTTTGGGGTTTTTTTGCATGTAGCCAAGATTCCTCCCTATTGCTGTTCAGTAGTGTTTGGCTTCAAGGGCATGGCATGGAAAGCAATTGCCTTTGGTAAGCAAAAATAGAAGTGTGTTCCAGGAGGCTCGGAGAGGAGTGCCATGACCTTGTGATGTAAAGAGCATGTGTGAAGCAGCACTTAACTGTGCAGAAATCCTCAGTTCTGTGTCAAGCAGTGCCTGCAGCATGCGTACGCACCCTCAGACCTGGTTACGCTCTGTCCTGACTGCTAAGGAGCTTTATTTGGGTAACTCTCCTGCAGCTAAAAAGGATTTAGGTCGCAGGAGAGATGAGGTGCTGGTAGGAAAGGGCTGAGACAAGAGGCAGTGAAAGTCAGGGCATGGATGGTGTTATTTTTAAAGTAGTTAACAGCTTTTTAGCAAGATTGTGTCACCTTCATTTCTTAGCTGTTCTTTCTCAGAAAGTGGAAGTGGGATGTGCTGCATCCACTGATGCAGAGCTTCACAACCTGGGGGCTCCTGGCAACAGAAATGTCTCTGAAAATGGTCACACATCCCTGGCTGCCTGTGACAGGAGGGTGAAAACAGGGGAGTCCAGGAGAGACGAAAAGGGTAGGATAGTAGAGAGGGGCAACGAAAAAAAGCTGAAAGAAGATCACTGTGCAGAGGAGAAAGGCAAAAAGGAAAAAAACTCCCATGAGCTCCCGAGGAGGGGGTAGAGGTTGACACTTGGCTCATCGATGCTCTTCAGCAAAGTCACATGGAAATAGAGACAATCTGCTTTGCCAAAGGCATCTGCAGGTCAAGCCTTGGCCTACAGCACACAGGGTGCTGCAGTCTGCAGCCTCTGCTACCTTCAGTGCAGCTGCAGGGATGGACATCTGTGCTCTGACAAAGCAGTTCCTCACCGAAACCACGCAGGGCACACGTGGTGTTCTTCCCTTCCCTGCGAGGCGCTCCAGGCAGGCTCTTCTCCCTCTCCAGTCCTTCAGAGGGCAGCGTGTAAAATGGGGACTGAAAGGCAAGGACAGTAAATATGTCATTTGGGCACAGCTGGAAATCAACATGAGGGAAAAAGGAAATTTGTTTGTCATGAACGTGCTCCTTCTGCAAACTCAAGTTCCGGTGTGTTTGTGCTAGTGCCTGGAACAGCCTGGGCTGAAGCCTCTGCAGCTGGGTCACTGAGGCCACGCTTTAGGAGATCCTCTAGGAGCCTGTTCACAACATACTTGGGTAGATGTTCTCATTCCCATCCCTACCTGTGGGTTTGAACTTTTCCTTGGGTGCAGCCTGCTGAAGGTGGGCTGGAGACTCCATTATGTCCCACCAAGGCAGAAGCTGTTTTCCTGCAGACTTGTGTAGTATGAGCAGCTTTGCTGAGGGTGTGAGCAGATGTGAAATCACCTTCTTACCCTCCCCCATGCCACAGACACTGCAGGTGTGGAGCTCCAGGAGTTGCTCTGCGGCTGTACGTTGTTTCCCAGTTCTTTGGTTATTTAGTTTTTAATCCCATATTAGAATATATTATCCCTGGCCATCTCAAAATACTATTATCATATCATCCCGTATTATTTTAATCCCATATATCTCAGGAACCTGAGAGATTTGGTTGCTGTCATCACCTGCACTGTGGATCCAGGCAGGGTGGTTCAGGCTTTGATCTTGGTGACAGCAGAGCTGTGAGTGCCGGCACACACAGCCTGGTGTGCCACATTTTCACAAGCTCTAATGTTTTCTGTTTGCTGCTCTCACGTGGGGTAGTCATTTATTTTTGCAGCAGAAAGAAAGTTTCCCCTTACTTGAAGGAGTGGCTCTTATACCTTCCCTCTCTCCTCCTTAGCCAGGATACTGAATTGCAGTTGGGTGGTAAGGATGGTTTCCCATCCAGAATCAGAGGAAGACTTGGCAGGTAATTTCCGAGAGGGCCACGAGACGGTCACTGGGTTTTTTTAGACAGCCTTTGATCTTGATTTCCTTGGCAACTTGTGACAGGCTCTGTGGTGTGTTCTGTCTTCTGGCAAGCTTGGTGTTGAAATCCTTTATCCTGCACAGAGAGAGGTGCTCTCCATCCCTCGACAACCAAAGGAGAAGGCTGCCAGCCAGCTGCAAGGCTGACACGTAGATTTTCCATTTTCATAATTGAGCCTTTTGAGCAAAGCCGGTAGGTGTAAGAACATTTCAGAAACTGTGGCTCTACAAATCTGACTGTTGGTAACCTATTAAACAGGAATCTGGGGAGGGAGGAGGGAGTGACCACTCCTTGTGAGCTCACTTAGTGTCACGAGGCTCCATCTCCATTGGAAGGGGTCGGAATTAGCAAGTAGCATTTGATTTTCTTTCCTCTGATAATTAGAAGTTCTCCATTTCAGCACAGATGGAGATTCTAAGGGTCTGAGGTGCCTAAAAGCACATTGACATTTATAGCCACTGAGATTTTGAAGGAGAAAACCTAAGAAGGAGGGTAACAGGGTAACAAGGTAACAATGGTTAGATCAGGTGCAAGGCAGCACCAGCCGTTCCTCTCTTGCCCGGTGCAGCCGGGCTGCTGCTCCAGCGACAGCAGTGGCTCCAGAACTGCTGGGCAGCAAACTGTCAGGTGTTGCTGAGCAGATGTTTGCTCTGAGTAGGATCTCTGAGGTGCCTCATGCCTTGCATGCTGCTGTTGCTCCTCCCCTTGCTGAGAGCCAAGCACGAAGTCCTGCAGTGAGAGAACAGGGGGTTTGGTCGTTTTCATCTTTCTGTGTACAGAGAGCTCCTTGGGCAGGTGCTGGCTTGTGGTCATGTAGTGCAGTGATCTCCCCTTTTCAATGGAACTACATCAGAAAAAGTCTGATGAGGGTCAGACCAGCTAAAGCAAAAGCAACTTTTTGTCAGTGCAGCCTGTGATCACCACAGGGCTGCTTTGCTGATCCGGGTCGATGGGGGTGGTGACGTCCAGCTCCCAGGTCACTCCTGAACATCAGTCCAGCCTCTGCATGCCACAGTAGCTGTCTTTTATTGCTCTCACAATTTGCTTTTCCCTGGAGCAAAGTCCTGGTGTTTTTTCATCACCACAACAGGGAAACAAGGCTCAGCAACAGCGAGTGGCACAGTCTTCACTGAGCTTTGCTTTTCTTAAAAAATTTGCTCCAAAAAAAGGCTTGTTAGTGACTCGTTCTAGGAGAGAGCCGGTGCAACACCCATCCCTGCAGCCCAGGAACTGGTGTGACTGACACCTCTCACTGTTGGTCCAGACTGCCCCATGCCCTGTGCCAGCTGCTCCCTCTGTCCGGCTCCTTCACAACAGTTGCATTTTAACAGTGTGCTCCAAAACAAACCAAACACCTCTTTGCTCCAGTGTCTAGAGTTCTGATTTGCTTTGTGATTTTAAGTTTATTCTTTGGTTCTTAGAAAAGAGAAACAAAACAAGGAGCAAAGCAACCAGCAGCTGTCTTGCTAAGCTTCCTTCTGCCTCATTCTTGGGCTGAAATCCTGGGAACTGTGTATTTGCTCTCAGGGTTTCCCGGCCTTGTACCCCCATTAATATTCCTTCCTACACCCAGCCTGTACATTTTAGCAGCTTTTGGAGATCGCCAGGGAACGTGTGTGCAGCACAACAGCAAAGGCAAAAGGAAGACATCCTAGTCACAGGTTCATGTCAGTCCATCTTTGTGCATTCTCCTGGAGGATTTAGTGTCTGCTGATGGACCAGATGAACCGTGGGCCATTGTGTATGTTATTACACCTTTCAGGTTCAGCAAAAGGGATGAGCTCAGGGGGTCTGCTTGCCTCCCTCTTCAAAAAGAAGGAAAATAACTATTTCTTCCAAGTCGTTTGTACTGTGAAGCAAAGATATAACTCTATTTGTGGGAGCGTGTGCTTGTAATGTGTGACTTGGCAGCCTTGGCTGTAGGTGCCTGGTCTCTGTGGCCACATGGTGGATTTGGGCCTCACACACCAATTTTAAGTGTGGCCCTAATCAGTGGGGGGTAACAGGGATAACAGAGCACCTTTGCAGCTACACAGGTCATTGTATTCCAGGAGTACACTGGACCAGCCTACGCAGTTGTGTCCAGCACAGCATAAATCTGGGCACTTTGCACTGTCTAGTCACTGTGTGCTCATCCCTCCTAATTCCTGCTAAGTACTCACAATTCCATGGCTGCCAGGTTGTATCAAGAACCAAAGCTCCTGGGAAATCCTGCTGCTGTCAAATACATAAATCTAATTTTTGAGTCAGAGGCAAATAGAATTCATGTTGCTCCAGCCACGCTTGGCACATGTCCCCAGGCCCAGAGAGGCAGCTGGGCTCACTAAGGGTCACCCGAGTGCTGGGAAGCCAGGCAGAGGAACCCCAGCAGGCAGCACTTAGAGAAATGAGTGCTTTGGGAGAGGAATAAGTATTGTTTCCATACGAGTTTTATACCAAGGCAGTACATGAGAAAAAGCACAAACCACCTGCACATCCCTCTGCCCATGGGCATGCTTTGAGACAGGGCTAGAAGGATGCTGAACACATTTAGGAATGTGAAGCAGTTACTCCTCCCATAAGGTTTATTGAGGATCTCAGTTTTCAAAGCATGAGTAGCAGTGAGGCCCGTTATTCTTTCCAACATGCAAAAGGCACAAGAAAGTCATCAATGTGATTCTGTGCAAAGTGTCTCTAAGGAAACACACAGCGAGGAAATGCCAGAAAAGAGCCCCCGATGGAAGAGAAAGCCAAAGTGCCTTCAGGAAAGTGCTGAAAAGTTCTGAAAATGCTCGTACTTTTTCAGAGTCCAGATATGCTCAGTCGGTGAAAGATGCTTTGCAAACTCATGAAGGAAAACTCAAGAGACAGAACCAAAAGGCTTAAAAAAATAATCTCCAAATTCAGGATGGAAGTCAAAATTATTTAGCTCAGGAAAAAAGTGTGGCAGTTAAAGACAGACATTGAAGTCTTTAAAAAAAAGCCCACCAAAACCAGACGTAGAAAGTGGACACGTTCTAAAAGCAGCTCAATAAAAAATATTCCTTTTAAGGAAAATAATTTAAAAAATGGAAACTTGAAGAGCACAAATCCACCTCGACCGCGACCAACTACTGCACCCAGCTCCCAGGAAACCTCTGAGCACGACAGCACAACATCTTGTAGAAGAAGAAAGTCCCCACTACCTGCCTGTGTGAAATATGGCCAGTGAAGAATTTGGAAACGCAAACGTACAGATCCAAGAATCCAAGTCCCGGTAGTTAACTTGGGCATTGGGAAACTTCCTGGGGTTCCCCTGTCTCCCACTGGAGCCGGCCGGTGCCAGAAGTGCTTCCCAGTGGGCATGGCTGAGCCCATGAACCTCTGAGCCTCTCGCTGGAGTTGAATACTTAAACCTAAAAAAGGCATTTACACGTTGACGCGTTTTTGTTGTTGCTGTTGTCTTATTTCCTTGCAGTATACGTTTCTAATTCTAGACTATGGAATGTTACATTAAACAATAGAATTATTCATTACCTTGCTTCAAATTTCATTACAGTTACTGAGGCTTCATCATAATTTCACACAGCACACAGACACCAAACTAAACACCAAGCAGCCAGCACTAGATGTATTTTTTCTTTAAGTACCAATAAGCAAAATATCCCATTCCCCCCAGAGATCCCATCAGGAAGGAGGCTCCGAGGAAGGAGGGAGGTTTCCGCTTGACCAGCCGGAAGGCGTTGGGAACCACTGCTGAGAGGAGCGTGGTGTGGATATCCCCCAGCACTTTCCTGAAGGCGAAGCGCTTCTGTATCCTGTTGAAGAAGGACTGTAGGTTGGGTCTGCTGCCGTCCTCCCAGTATTTCTTAGAGAGTCCCAGAAACTTGAGGCGGTGCAGGGTGGCTCCTAACAAGACATCGGCCAAAGTAAAGACACATCCGCAGAGCCAAAGTTCACACTTCTGCCCTGGAGAGAGAAGCAAAAGGGAAGGTAGGGTCAGGAACCCTTGGGTGGGCACCTAAAGACTTGCTCAAAAGGTCCGTGAAGACAGGAGCATTTGCATTGGACGTTTGGTTTTTTTCTCAGCTCTCTGATCAGACCCCATCTACCAGGCCATGTGATGGGGAATATGTGGGGCCACAGACCTGGGAATACGAGATGATCATTTACAGCCCATGGGAAGATACAAATTGCTGTCTGCAAAGAGCAGCAGGAGATGGCATCCTCCCGTACCCAGGAGGTCCCTGGAGAAGGGCCATGGGCCCCACTTGAAGGAAGATGTGGTACAGTGACCCCTTCCACTGTGCTAGTGCTTGGGGGCAGCAGCAGCATTTGTCCTTGGCCATACCAGGAGCTGTTTCAGGGGTGTCATGTTAACTTGTCCTATTTTAGGGATGTGAGAAATCCTCAGGAATCAAAACCATTTGCAGGCCTGTCCTGGCTGCCCACCCTGTGTGCTCCTGGGGAGGTCCTGTCTCTGTCCCCCCTCCTGCAGCAGGGATCCTGCTCCAGGACACCGAAACGGGCAGCGTGTCTGTCAAGAGCCAAAGCTCAGTGTGAATACTGGGTCTGAGGACAGAGATCAAAGCACTGACCGCCCCCCAGCAGAGGTGACCCTGGAAATAACCTCACCAGAGAGATGCCCAGGAATAAACCAAGCTGTTGTTAGGCTGGAAGAAGCATTCTCAGGCCAGGAGAATGTTAATCTCTCCCCATATGTCCTTTCAATGCTAAGGAGCAGGGCTGGGATGGAGCTGAGGGAGGTGCAGCTAAGGAAGAAAAGCAGAAGGGGCACTAAACCTGGGCCTGTCCAGCCTCTGCCCTGGGCTTTGTGCCAGATCCTTCATGTTGGGGCTTTTCCACTGTCCTGTGGCTGTTATGTCTGGGAAGGAGAGAGAGAAGCACCTTTACTGCACCCCTGTGCAGGCACTGGTGCTGCAGGGCCCGGACAGGGGAATTAGTGGTAATTAGCAGCCCTCATTTGTAGCCGCTTGGCAACCTGCCTAATCCTGCTAAAGGCACAGCCCGAGTGGACAGATTGGCTGTGCCTAATTAGTCAATAAATGTTTTCAATGACTAATGAATTGTGGGGTCCTGCAGCCAGAGCCTTCTGGGTGCTGTGGTGGTGCTTTGGCTCAGAGGCAAGGGGAGTTGGGATGAGGAGGCTGCCCTGTCCCAGGCGCTGCTGAAGGAGAAGGAGGAAGCACATGTGAGGAGAGAGCTGTGACCTGGCCCTGCCCCTCCCGGCTCTGGGCTTGCCCCCAC